ACCACTCCCCATTTGCCCTTGATCTTCCACCTATTTACAAGCCATGGCACTCTAAGAACACTATACATATAGGCCCCTTTCCTCTTGAAAGCGTACCCCTAAGCCAAAGGATTTAAGAGAATGATTAAAGATCATTAATGCCACATTGTCTCCTTGACCATTGCACGGAGCTCCGTCGCACATCCTAAGCTCCGCCAGACCACTACTTGATGCCCTATGCTCTATCAGACAACAACCTGACGCCCTAAGCCCCACCAGACTACTGCTTGTCAACCTGAGCTATTTTGGACCACCACCTAATATCTTAAGCTCAGTCGGACCACCGCTTGAAGCCCTGAGCTCCACCAGACCACCACCTGACATCCTAAGCTCCGTCAGACCACCGCTTGACAGCCTGAGCTCTGCTGGACCACCACTTGATATCTTAAGCTGCACTGAACCATCACTTGATGCCCTGATCTCTACTGAACCACCTCGTGATGTCCTAAGCTCCGTAGGACCACAGCTTGACTCCATGAGCTTTGTTGGACACCACCTGATGTCCTAAGCTCTATCAGGCCACTGCTTGAAGCCCTGAGCTCTATCGAAACACCACTAATGTCCTAAGCTCCTCTAAACCACTGCTTGATGCTCTGAGCTATGTCAGACCCCACCTGACATTGTAAGCTCTATCAAACCACTGCTTGACACCATGAGCTTCGTCAGACCACCACCTAACATCCTAAGCTCCACCGGACCACCACTTAATGCCCTGAGCATTGCCAAACCACCATCTGATGTCCTAGCTCCGCTCTGACCACCACTTAATGCTCTGAGCTCCATCAAACCAACACCTTACATCCTAAGCTCAGCATACCACCATCTGACATCCTAAGCACCGCCAGACCACTACTTGACACCCTGAGCTCCGTCGCAACACCATATGAAGTCTTAAGCTCCATCTCATATCCGCTTGACTCCGTGAGTTCCATGGAATCATTTTTAACTAGGATAGACCCTGGTTTTCCCCTTTTCCAGGATTTTTTATGTAAAAATCTTATGTTATCTATGTGAGAGCTAGATATCCATGCAATGTTAAGGCATTGGATCATAACTCTATCACCACGTATATTCTAGCCCACAATAAAACTAAATTTTTAGTACAAAAAATTTAGTTCCAAAATTTTATACCAGCAAAATATTCTCGTGATTAAACTGCCAAAAATTTTTAGCAGACAGTTCCATTATAAATTTTACCAATACTTTATGCAAAAATGACATCCAAAAATACCTTCATAACTCGTTGTATCATCATTTCCAACAATTTATCTACTGGAAATCCATCAAAACTTGTAGCATATAAAAAATAGCATTTTACCTTAATTATTATAAATCATAATAGTTTATAATCATATACAATCAAAACATAAATATAGTATCCTCACATTTCAAAATTGCATATAAATAGTGATACAAGTAAAACGTATTTAATCAAAAGAAAAGTTCAACAATTACCAAATAGTTCTGCAAAAAAAATCATGTTCTTTATTCAATAAAAAAATAAACTTCAATCTACAATTACATAAGTTTTTCAAATCTTTTTTGCATTCTCCTCCTTTCTGATGTGGCTGCTTTCCACTAAATTGCTCCCTCATTCTTTATAACTCCTGAATATCTATTTTTGTTGCATCTATATTTACTATCTGCATGTCAGCTTGTGATTTTTGTACATGCTCTATCTCTGCTATAAAGGCAGCCATCTATTAACTACACTAACTCTCATAGCTCTTTCCTAAGAAGTTGGGAGCCACCAAAAGACCGTCCCTAGTAACGTAGGCTTCAAGCTTAATTCATAAACTCTCCATTTATTTGCTACAACTTTCTTACTATTTTATAAAGTAATTTTTTAATACAAAAATTTTAAATCTAAAAAATTTGCATTAAAATTTTATTTTATAAAATAGAACAATACTATCCTAAATGAAGCCTTAATGTGCTTTCTAATGTTTATTATATTAGTCTTGATACATCATTAAAAAATTATCCTGTTTGGGCGAATCTCAAGGGAAAATCAAGTTACAAACTTCAAAAATTAAATTTGGGAACATCCGAACTCCAATTTTAGCAAACTTATAGTTGAACTGAATGTTTCGAGAATACAAACCCTACAACACCAAATTTGACTCAATCTGAGCCCAAATGATTCTAAATCAAGGACCTGAAGCACCGTTAAAAGGTTTAAACCACAATTTGGATTTCCAAACTATTTCAAAATGTGACATGCTTATAGTCAATTAGAGTGGCTCGATGAAATAAATCCAATAATCCTAAGATCACATAATTTCAACATTGTTAAGACCTCTAAATCCCCATCAAACGGTCCATGATCAGGGGATTCAACATAAATCATCCATCCCAACCACTCACCATTTATCATAGATATTCCTCCTTATAATGGGCCATGTCACTCTAGAAAATCTATAAATAGACCCCTTCTTCCTCTTGAAGAGGGGCCCTAAGTTCTACCGGACCACTACGTAATGCCCCGGAGTTCTGCCAGACCACCACCTGACACTTGAAATTCCACCGGGCCCTCACCTGACACTTAGAGTTCCATCAGACCACCACTTGATGCTCAGACTTCCACCGAACCACCACCTGATGTTGTACATCCATCGGACCACCGCCTAACGTCGGAGTTCTACTGGACCACCTGATGCCCAGAGTTCCACCGGGCCACCATCTAACACCCAAAGTTCTGCTGAACCACCTAATGCCTAGAGTTCAACTAATCCACCACCAGATGCCCGGAGTTCACCCTAACACCCAGAGTTTCTCCAAACCACCACCTAAAGTTGAACTTCCGCCTAATGCTAGATTTTTTCCATACCACCTAACGCCTAGAATTCTATCGTGCCAACCACAGATGCCTAGAGTTCCACCAGGAAACATGACATAGAAGTTCTTCCAGACCACCACCTGAAACCTGGAGCTCCATCGGACCACCATGTGATGCCAAACTTTTGTTAGACTGCCACCTGTCGAACTACCTCCTTAAGATAATGGTCTTTCGACCCTTCTCTCCTACTGACTACGATCCATTTGACCACCATCGACTACTACGGTCCTTCCGACCTCCATCGCCAGACAATGATCTTTTTGACCCATGTTTCCTGCCGACTATGATCCTTCCGACCCCATCGCATACTACAGTCCTTTCAACCTCCATCATTATACAATGGTCTTTTTGAACCCTATCTCCTACCGACTACAATCCTTCCAACCTCTATCGCCTACTATAATACTTTTGACCTCCATCATCAGATAATTTCGTTTTTAACCCTTATCTCTTGCTGACTACAATCGTTCCAAACCCATTTCCTACTATGGTCCTTTCGACCTCCACTGCAAGACAACAATCTTACTAACCCCTATCTTGTGTCGTCTATGGTCATTCCGACCTCCATCGCCTGTTGACTATTGTCCTCCTGAGTAAACATACATATCAATACAGATTCTTCTAATTTCTACTCTATAATGTATTTTATTTGATGTATATCTATTATTTCAAACCAAGGTCTTCCCTCCAAAGAAGGGTTTCATTTGTAATTGACTGTAAATAATAGTGGATTCACTCAAAATGGGTTAGGCCCCATGGTTTTCCTTCTATTCAGGGGTTTCCACGTGAAAACTCTGGTGTCTCTTATGAATGCTACATATCTCTTTCATCTTCTTGTGTGTTGGATCTTCGTATAAAGCTAAGACATTAAATTTCATATTTATATTGCCTGCGAATATTCCAGGATGCAACAAGTCTAAAAGTCAATTACCTTTTGCTAACGATGAATGGACTAATTCTATCCTCTTAGAGATTTTTTTGGACTTGTGAATATGTTTGTGTCCCTATCTTCAATCTTCTGTAGCATTCATTATAGGAATACTTATTTCTGTGAATAATGAAGAGGAATCCTTTCTAACTTTCTCAATTATCTTAATATTAGTAGCTAACAAAATTAAGGGTCTGTTTGGCGATGCTTTTTGTTGATTTATTTTTTTAGGTGACGACAACAACAACATCAAGAATTTATCCCACTACGTGCGGTCAGTAACATGAATCCTTTTTCACCATTATGTCCTGTTAAAAGTTAAATTCTCATTTAAGTCTAATAAAGAAAGATCATTTCTAATATTTTCTAATTAAGTTTTTTTAAGTCTACCTCTACCTTTCTTAATATAAGTCAAATCTAATACTTCAACTTTCCTAACTGGGTCATCAGAAGGCCTCCATTTAATGTGAGCAAACCATCTAACGCGACTCTCTCTAATTTTATATTCCACTGGTGCTACGCAACCCTTTTCACGTATATTCTCATTTTTTAGGTGACAATCATAATTTTATTAAGGTACTAATTTTATTTTATTTTTCAAAATTCTTTAAAAATTTTTGTGATGGAAAATTATTTTCTTATAATCATAATAGTTAAGTTGGTTTCTTTCTAATAATTGCATGACTAACTTTATAACAAGTTGTAACCAACCAAAACTGTCCTTAAGTCAAAGCATCTTAATTTAACTTTTTTAGATAAGTAACTCACTTATAACTATATATATTACTCAGCTCACTTTGGTTTGTTGGTTGGAGACTTTGACAATTAGTAAAGAGGTCTTGGATTTGAAGCTCATGTATGTGATATATGTGTTAGTTTGTTTTAAAAGCTCAAATGTTCAAAAGAAAAAAAATATATATATCTATATGTATGTAAAATAAATCACTTATTTACCATTATTCTTTATTGATAGCCGCAATAAGGAAGTTCACTACAGGAAAATCACCCAAAACCGGCGGTTTTTACCGGCGGTTTACGCATATTTACCGACGGTTGTATAATTTACCGGCGGTTGTCCAGCGGGTATGTGACCGCCTGAAAATTAGGCGTAGAAAATTCTGTACCGGCGGTTTTTACCGGCGGTCTAAGACGGCGACGGTTTGCCGACGGTCAATGCCGCCGGCAATTCCACAACTATATGCCGGCGGTGTACCGGCCGATTAACCGCCGGTCACAATACCGGCGGTTTACCGACGGCCACGATACCGACGGTATCATGGCGTCGGCTGAAACCGCCGTAAATCGTCGGTAAGCCATCGGCACGTTACCGGCGATGACCGTTGGTAAAGACACCTTGGGAAAGCCAAAAGCGATGAACATTCAAGTTCATGAATCCTTCAAGAATTAGAAGAATATGATAACTTTGATCGAGACAAGAACACTTTACATGTGGGTCACAAAAGAATTTTAGAAACCATCTATGGAGGTCATGGCTGAAGAGAATGTCAATAGTGATCAAGTTTTGAGCGCATTGAACATTATTTAGAAATCAAGAAAATATGATGTCTTTTTGAAAATATCTGAAAAGGAAAAATAAAGATGATAGCTTAAATGATTATTCAAGCAATTCATTTGAAAAGAGAGTTTGATAAAATATGGGAGCACCAAGATCTTATTATGAAACTTAAAATGAAGGATTAAGAAAATTCAAGCTTGGAGAATTTATCTCATGAAGAATCAGAAATTCCAAGTGTTATTATGGATCAAAAATCATTTAAGATTGATGAGAATTTGTCTCATGAAGATTCAAAGGATGAGCTCCATGATCTGTGAAAATGCTAAAAGTAGGGGATGAGAAAATTTGATGTTTCAAATCATCGAAAAATATGTGCTACTGGCTTTGCTTCAACTAAGAGATCCTCTTGAATTAAATGTGGCTTTTAAGCCTTTTGTGATGCTCATAATCTAAATTGGAAGAATTATTCTTTTAATCTTTTAATAAATAACAATTATAACTGTCTAATATCATATATCAGTAATAAATAATAAAACAAATTCAGTAATTTAAAATATTAATGTATACATCTATATTCATTCCCAAATATCATATACACTACTCAAGATCTGCACAATCATCACATATCTTTCCTGAGTATAAAAGAATAACTATAAAAAAAAAAAAGAAACAGAACCTGACCAGCTCACACTTCTGCTCCATTACCTTAACCTGAAATTATTTGACCACATATTATGAGCTTAAAAGCCTAGTAGGTCACTAAAACTTATAACTTAATTCAAAATATAGTAAAGGAGCAATATGTATGTCAGTAGTTCAATCATGAGAGTTACATTCATATGATCATTGAATCAGTGCAAGAATAGAAAAACTCAAATGCAATAAGAGTAGAATCTATAAATAATAAAATAATACAGTGCAGAAATTAGTAAAGTTGTAAACCAATATGAGTGTTAAATCTATAAAGCAATCATTGTATCAGTAATACTAATCAGTACATAAATCATACAAAATATCAAATTAAAATATTAGTAAAGACTATCAAAATTAAATCAATATAATAAAATCATATAGGAATGTATGCATGCGATTGAGGCATTCTATATCATGTGCTCAGTTTATCATATGCTTAATATTAATACAATTAATTAGTAGTATTAAATAGTATCAGTATCTATATCAGTAACAGTAACAATCTAGTGAGAGGAGCAGAAGAATAATATAATAATAATAAATCTATCCATTAATAATAAATCCGTATAACAATAAAAAAAATGCTTCAAAACATTCATTTTAGTAGTCATACTAAATAATTAAGAAAACCTGGCTATAACGATATTTTTCAGTGTTAGTAAACCATTGGCTCAGGAAATAAAGTCATAACTCTTTATCCATCAGTATAGTAATGATCTATTTATAACTCTCAATGAGTATATCAAGTGAATTAGTAAAGGATAATATCAAACCATAGTATTTATAAGAAAGCACCTCGGCCCATAATCCTGTACATGTCAATTAGTCTCCAACCAATTGGTCAACTAGTCTTTACTTGTTTGTTTCACACATACATATTATTATCATAATACTATAATAGTAATAATAACCAGCTATTACTCAAATACATATCCACATTCATTTTCAATGCATTGTAGTAAATAATACATAATTGAGCTTAATTAAGAAGATGCTAAAATATCATAATGATAAATAATAAAGAATCCTATTAGGAAAAAAATACACATTTTCAAAAAATTACGAAAATATAGGAATTGAATAAATTGATATTTTAAGATATTTAATATACTACACTGCTATTTTTAGATGTCAAAATAAATTTCAGGGTAGAAAAAATTTGCTATATTTTTAAAATCACGAGAGAAAAAATTTTAAGTAAATACTCAAAATGCTCATAATTATTGTCTCCATAGCACACAAAAAAAAAAGTTAAACAGTGAAAGTTTTATCAATACAAAGTTACTCATATTTTTTTTATAAGGAAAACTCAAATTTAATCAAAAAATACCAAAAAAATAGAAACTCCTTTAAATCAGAAATAGGGTAAAGGTTCCTTACAGCGAGACAAATAAATATTCCAACTGCGTCGACGGACAAAAATTGTATTGTGCCCTCCAAATTTAAGTTTCTTATTTCTATTTCTTACCTTGTTTCTCACATTTTCCACACACCACATTCTCTATTAGCCAAAAGCTTAGGGAGATTAAATGGATTTTAATGGATACATTAGTGCTTTATGATATGTTAATATAATATTATTATAATATTTAATTTAATAAATTATGTAGTACAAAATTCAAATAAATCATTTTCAGATATTAAAAATTATAAAAAAAATATTCATAAAATAAAGCATATTTTTTAGAAAATATTGGTGAAATTAGTTTGCAAAATGGACACATAATGATCCCGAAATTCTTACTTGTACCGACAAGTGCCAATTCCTTAAGGATTTTCACTGGTTCTCAAAAATTATGAAAAAATTAATGTAAGTAAAATACTATGATCAAAATACTGTGACTAAGATGAATTATTATTCAGAGTTATAATGTCTCCAAAAACAATTGGCAAAGTAAAAATACAGTTTATTACACCTATGTTATCAACATTCATGTCTCATCTCTCCCAAAGCTTTTCTCCTTTAATAAAAAATAAATCAAACTATGATACATTTACTGACCCCTATGCATCAAACCACTTACAAAGGGACAAAATCAGTGAATTAAGCAATGTGCACGTCGATGTGATGCATCACTTGAAGAGTCAAACAAATTTTGATTTCCAAATGATTTACCATCGCATAAGAGACTTCACCATAGCGTCAGGAACATTGCCAACATTTAAAACTTATATTTTATTTGAATAATTGGGATTTGCTAAGGCGGTGGCACAAATCTTAAGGTGAGAGAATTTAATAATTGATGTCTCCCAAAAACATCATATCAAAAAATAGACTTTGTCATTGCATTCAAAACATCGCAAATTCTTAAGATTGACTACTAATTTGTCCAATTAAAATTTAGTGGCAAAATCAGCACTTAAAATGAGGGAAAATACACACAAAATAAAGAATCACACAAATCAAGGTTATTTTGAACTAATTATGAGATTGTTGGCATTTTAAATTAATGTAATAATTATTAACTTTAAAAATTATATATTAAAAAAAAAAGAAAACAGAGCCCAATGGAGAAAAAAAAAAAGTCAAATGCATTAAATGTGATACCTCATCTAGGAAAATCCTCTACTTCTGCCAATCTTCAATCGACCTGGCCTCCGATGTCTTTCATCTTTATTAAAATGGAATGGAATAAAGAATCTTTCTTTTTAATAACCAACCCGTGAGCTTTGTCTTCACAAATCCTGAATTCATGTGTTTGTTGTTCTACCTCTTCACGCCAAAACCAGTTCACCCCCACTCAAAAGGCCACATTCAATACTTTGTTTGAATCGATCCCAAACTCATCCACAAACCAAAGACAATAGCTGCCTATTCTTCCTTTTCTCATTGTGCCGATGAGACCAGTGGCTTTCTTTGCTCAGGCCCACTTCCTACCTCCGTCTAGGTTGCCCTCCACCTGCATTTTTAGACATGTGAACTCAGCAAACCTCACGACCAAAATACCTCGGCCTTTGTAAATTGATTCTCTGTCGTCTATACCTTTTTCCCATTCACTTCGTGCTTTTTTTTTTTCATTTGCTTTTTTGCGTCCACACATGACTCGGCTCTTCTCGACTAAGTAAGTTAACATGTAGCTTTAAGGCCTGCTTAATTTGGGGCTTTAATCAAAGCCAAGTGAAACAAATCCAACAATGTGTCAAACCTAAACATCCCATTGTTTTAAGCCACTTCAATCTTCCCACTTAACCAATTCAGCCCACTTAAGCTACAGCAGCCCAATTCACACTCTCACATATTCCAAATCAGCTCATCATACACTTTGATAACTCTGTAAAAGCTTGATATCCAAACCCATATACAAACTTCTCTACTCCATTTACCATATAGCAGCAAGCTAGCCGAAACTTCTCGCATTTACAAAGCCCATCCCATTTCACTAGATCGACCCATGTCTTCTTGTATTATCCCATTTCTCTGCTATTTACCTACTGTCAGTTTTCCCATTCCATTAAAATAATATGACCACTCAAAGCTTGTTTGCTTTAGCTCACTTTCCTCCAAATAGCAACCCATTTTAGTGTTCTACTTTAACACACAATTTTTTTTTTAACATGAAAGCATTGTGTTTTCTTTCCTCTTCTATATATCTTCTTTTTATTTTACCATGCTATTTTCTATATATCTTCTTTTTATTTTACCATGCTATTTTCTATATATCTTCTTTTTATTTTACCATGTATTAATAGCATTAACTCTTAATACCAAACAGTGCAGTAAGCATTATTAGTTTTCTAATTAGTAGAGATTTGTTAACTTTAATTATGCATAAAAGTGTATATATATGCATATGTATGTATGCAAGTGTATGTGTGTGCACATAAGTAAAAAATGATGATGATGAAAGTGATGCTAAAAAAGGAGAAAATGGAGAAAATGCAAAAAAGAGAATGAAAAGAAGGAATTTGTGTGCATTTTCATAACATTGTCATCATTTTCGTTATTAACATCGCATAAGTATAAAGGTTTCCTAACTCAAAATCCTGCAGTCGGTGTTCACTATGCATCAAAAAAATGCCCATACATGATTTTCACTAGCATGGTTAGAAGGGAACACGGTGCGACACCAACGGTGAGGCAGGAAGGCCCTGTATATACTCTTCTCTAACGCTGCAGGGATGAATATCTGTACCTGTAGATGCT